ATAACCTAACCTAACCTACCCTATTGATAAAGATATTTAAATAATGTTTTATATAACTTTCTCAATATTTTTATGTATTTTTCATTAGTTTTACCTTTGAATATTGTTTAAGAATGACTATATCAATATTTACATGCCTAGAAATGTATAAAAATTGGCATATTTATTAACTTTCACCCCCCATAACTTTCTATGGGGGTGAGACCGCCACGAACTTTTTATGCTACAGTGGTGGGGGAGACCTCCTCTTTCGATCCCACCCACTCCCATCATCTAGGCATTTACCCTTAATTTGTATTTTTTTTAATTAAATATAATTATGGTTGCTATAGGTTTTATTTTACCATTCAATATTTTTACTATTTGAATGCTTAGTATCGCAAAAAGAAAGAAACAGGACTCAGTTCGTTCATGTTGTCGTGGTTTTTTCTACCGCAAGAACGAGCCATTAGACTGATCCAAACAGTTACAATAAAAGCAATGTATGTGTTAATTCGACACTTACCTTGAATATGCTTATGATTGACACATAATTCGCCTTCATTCCCCCTGCACAGCTTTCTGTTGCTTGGTCTTAGGTAGTCGAAAGATTTGAACTGAAACAAAAAATAATATAAATATTGTACGATGCATTTCTAGTCTCTAGAAAATACAAGTGTTTATCTATACTTCCTACTAAATATAGCGCTCAATAATTGATGTAATGTAATGTTTTTAAAAATAAATCATTAGGTATTCGTTTTGATTATTCATATTTAGAAAATATGCTCATTTTGCTGCAAATGAAGTGTCTATTATTTCGAAAGCTCTCCGAATAGAATTCACCCGAAATTAAAACACTAAAACTAAAGAGCCCGCACTCAAGAAAACGAAATGCTCAGTATTAACGTTCACGAGCAAAACCTCATAAACAGGAACAACAGTCACAGTGTACAATTCCTGGCAATGTTGCGATGCAACACAAATTCGAAACGGGTTGAATCCTGTGCAAGCGCACACACACAAGCAAACGGTTTTCGTCGTCTAAAAGCACTTGAAATTCTCGTCACCATTAACGTCACCGGCGTAATAATTGTTTTCCATTGTTTCAGTGAAATATCTGCGGGAGGTGACGCCGTATTTCAGAAAAGCGAGCATAATTTCGGAGGTCGGATGGGAACTGCAGCGTGGCTTCCTGACCGGGGCTCCACCCTTGGTACGATCGCCTCAGCGAGCTGACACCCGCTATCTACCCTTACAACTTTGTCTTCTCGCCAGGGGATTCAAATATCCCGATCCAGGTGAGACATAACGAAATTTCAGGAGGAATTGACAAAAGCGTTACGATTCCCAATTACAAATTTTCCAGTGATTCCCACTGAACTTCAATGGAAATTTTTCCTACGGGTTTGTTTGTTAAAAATGATCACCTACAATCTACAATTATGTTATCTAAACTCTAACGTATTGTGTAGAAATCTGCACGATTCGCCCTGTATCTCGTTGTTTTTAAGAACATCCTACGGAATAATTATAAACTCGGCTGTAAAACAAGAGCGGTTGTTTGCAAAATTTAATTAGCAAAGAGGCAAACACAAAATAAGGCTGATTCTGCTTTGTTGCTACAGCGTCTAATTGTAAGCAATTCATTTTCCATGTCAAGACGCTTAATATACAGCAAAGAAGCCACTTTTAAATTAAACGAATAGTTAGTCAGAGCAGCGAATTAAAACAGCACTACGTTAAATTAATAATAAATGCTCATCGAGATGCAAACTGCGCACAATTATAATTTTCTCCCTGAAACAACGAACGACTATCTTATATATTATTACAATTTTAATTAATCAAAACCAAACAGGGGCTGAAAGTTTTTTATTTTTCCAAAACTAGGTACTGTCAACAAGTAACCTTGAGAAAAACAACAACATAGGGTGAAACGTTGACAGTAGGTTTCGGAAAATAAAAAACCTTTTGACCCCTGTTTGGTTTTGATTCACCCATTGAATATATGTTAGGGGAGGAATGGAGATTACAAATATTGACTTTTATAGCAAAAGAAAATTAATTAATAATATCTCAAGATGGTAAAGGATGATGGCCCTCACCCCCGCAGGGGGTGGTGGTGGGAGAATAGAAAGAGGAGGTCTTCCCCACCATTGTACCATAAAAAGTTCGTGGCGGTCTCACCCGTATAAAAAGTCATGGGGGTAAGATGATGGGGGGATCGAAAGAGGGTGGTCACCTGAGTAAAACCCCATAAAAAATTTGCGGCGGTCTCACCCCCATAAACAATTATGGGGATTGAAAGTTGATTATTTTGACAATTTTCATGCACTATAATTCAAATAAAATTCAATAAAAAAATTATTTTCAAGCGGGTGGAGGTGGGGGATCGAAAGAGGGTGGTCACTTGAACAAAACCCGATAACCTAACCTAACCTAGCCTATTCTATTGATAAAGATATTTAAATAATGTTTTATATAACTTTCTCAATATTTTTATGTATTTTTCATTAGTTTTACCTTTGAATATTGTTTAAGAATGATTGATATTAACTTTGAACCCCCATAACTTTTTATGGTACAGTGGGGGGGGGAGACTTCTCTCGATCCCCCCAACCCCCACCCCCTTCGGGGATGAGGGCCATCATCTAGACCTTTATCCTCAAGATTTATTACTATTACTAGTACAAATAGTCTAAATTTAGTCGTTGTCGATGGTGTACGGTTTAGTTGATTGAATTAGGAAATAAAGGTGATCATTATGTCAGATGCGATGCCCATAAATGGTCAGGTCAAACCTTGACCTGAGTCGTCCTGGCAACTGACTGTGGACGTGTGATGTAGATATAAATTTAAAATTTTCAGCAAGCTGCTGCGCGAGGAAAGCGTGCACAATTCGAGCGAATTAGTTTTCCAACGAAATTGAAACGAATTAAACGAAACAAAAAGTTCAGTTCGCAGTTCGTGCTGGAGTTTTGACATTTATAAAAGGCGCCAGTCCGGCTACTGAAACGAATACAAAAGCTGACGTGCCGAAGCCGAAGAACGGACGGACGGACAGACGGACGAACAGAAAGACAGACACCTCTCCAACAGAGGACAAAGCCATTTTATAGAGTTCAAGCGTTCGTTCTAAAACAATATTCCCGCTCCTTTTAATGGACAATTTATCTCGAAGCTTTGCCAGATCCATCCCTAATATTGGATCCACTTACTTGCTTATTACGAACAAACTTGCTTCCACACGAAAAGTTCTCCAAACTCTAGGCGACGACTGCCGAACAAAAAAAAAATACACCGAAAAACTTTCGGAATAATGAGAAACGAAGTTTTCTTGTTGAAATTTTCGTATCCAACTTACTTAGAAAATGAAACTTCTTAACTTTGCTACGAAACATAATTTTTCTCATCTACTATTTAGTGGCAACAAACATATCTGTGTAAATAAATCATCTCCGTTCTAATATGATAAAAATATGGATTTGGAATACCTAATAACTTTCGCTCATAAATCTGTCTGAAAAAGAAGCCTGTAGCAGATACAGTTACGTTCAAAATAAATGATGCATACAGACGCAGTCAAACAATCGCAAGTACCCCTCCGCATCCTCGAAAATGTTCAAATTTGATCTGATTGAACTTCCTCACTCAGGTTTATAATAAAAAATCGGTTGTCTGTAAAGTCGGTTTACTGACGATAGTTGAACGTGACAACGTCATAAGAAAATACTGATTGAATGGTTTCATTTTTCAAAAGTAAATTTTAATTTTATTTGTTTGATAGATATTTTGTATGGATATAGAGAAGGAGGTAAATGGAAATGTATTATTGTATAGCAGCTGTCCACGCGGACGCATCGCTCATTCAAGTAGCAGAGAGACAGATGTCGAACGCTGCCGAACGCGGAGGCCGACTGTGCCTCTTTGTCGTTCGTTCCGCGCTCTCGCTTGCACTTCAAGCCTTAAATGGAACGCCTCAGAGCGAGGTAACGCCGCATGAGTCATGGTTTTTCGTGCGTGCAGCCGGCTCCATCGAATTATAAGACGTTGTCACGTCAATAAATAAAACAAGAGAAAAATACGTTCTTCCACCCTACTCTCCAGCTTTGCACTAGTGTGTATGTTGGAGAGGTTGCCTGCCCACCTACATAAGTAGCTGGTGGGAATCAAACATCAAAAATCATCAGTCCTTAGAGGTGACCCTTTAGTCCTGAATGAATATTTTTTATGTAATAAAATTGTTTTAATTCTTTTTAACGGTACATTCAGTTTGTTATCCTTTTTTTAAATATTATTCTGTATATGAAAGCAAAAAGAATGTAGTAGCAACCTCCCTTGCGGTCGCATACCACAGCTATATATTCGTAAAACCGCTGCATGAACCGAAAAATAATTACTTTTAATTTTATTGCAGTTTCCATAATAAAAGTGTCATTCTAAGCTTTCTCGGCTATTCCACTAGAATTTGTTATACACACGTTTTTGTTCAAGCTTAATTTACGGCTTTAAGTGCAGAAAGTAGTTAAATAAATTTTGGAGGAATTACTATTTCGAACCCTGCAATTTATTAATGGAAGTGGAAGACGATTAATTTGTTGCAATAGTGCCTAAACTAATTAATGATTTTAAGCTTCGCTACGTACATATCGGCTTGCAGTTCACCTTTCAAGGCAGCTATTCACTTGAAAACTGAATTACAAATTTCACGAAACATCACCACAAAATAAAACACACATAAGTGAAACTCGAAAGAGCTATAACAATAAAATCGTTTGAATAAAATTGTCATTTAAGAAAAAACAGGAATCGATTCAGTTTCATCTAATTCATTATTCAGTATTCAGTATTCAGATTATAATCTGAAACCGTAAACACTAACTGAAGTTTGTCATTTCCCAAAAAAAGGAAACAACTCCGAAATATTTAGGTATTGGAAACAGTACCTAGAACAAACGACGTGAGAATACGTGAGGATTATTTTCTTTCATCTTGTGTTACAATTCATGTTATGTTACTCGGTATCTCAATGAAACGGTTATAGACCCTCCTAGTATGTAAACTACAAGCTTGTAGAGTATGCGAATCGAAAGAGACGCTGGCCCATATGGGATAAAAATGTTCATGAATAAGGATGGCATAAAGACCTAATAATTAAAAAATTAACGGAGAAAACTGAATGCACACGCTTCTAGACTCCTTCGTATCCTGAAGCATTCCTAGCATTAATCCAAAACTGAAACATCCCACAGTAATCTAATTTTCCTATTTCTACGTCTAATATATCTGTAATTAGCCCTTCACGCTTTCATGATTGCGAAGGTGTCCTACCAGACTATCTCCAGCGTTTTCTGTTCTCCTAATATTCCGAATACCTCCTTATTTCTATGATCTTAACTGCATACAAAACGACGCCTTGCCGAGTAATTTTTCATTTGCTTTAATTTCTGAATTACGTTGTGGATATCCTAGAATCGTTGGTTAATGTAAAGGACAATAGATAACATTAAAATAAACAGGCAAGTAAATGTCTACAACTGGACCGAAAACAATTCGTGAATTTTACGATTTATTTTAGGTACCTCGGAAGTTTTTTAACGACATTCTAATGTGATTAGTCGTTCGTAAGGGAACCAACCCTTTCCAAATGATATCGTTTTCTAAGCTATTGATCCCTTTTAAAACGAACCGTACAAAAACAGGAGTAATCTCTTACCATGACGTTCTGGAGCTGAATAATTACATTTTAGAAGACCTCTTTTCAATAAATCTGTCTTTGGGTTTCGGGAAAACTTGCAATTCAACCAGCCGACAATTTTCTATGGGTAGGAATAAAAGAAAATCTTCGAACGAGAACAAGATTCGTTTGTTCAATCAAATAACTCGAATTCTTTTTCAACCCGTCGGAAAATAAGAAATCATTTCAGAATGTATGGTTAGTCGACAGAAATCTATATCTTCATATCGATCAACGTAAGCAAATTCTCTAGGAATGATTAAAAAATTCTACAGTCTTTTGTTGACAAAAGGATGCAGAACACATGGGCACCAATCAATTTCATCAACGCATCCAGGTGCCCGACATCAGTATGTCCATCATCGTTGTTTATTTCGAAAACAGTTGAACACCCAAACCCAAAACGTCACATTAATAAATCATATTGACCTGGTTTTCGTCCAAAAAATAATTATTTACATTTAAAAACAGGCCACAGAATGCGGGATATTTATTATTTATTGATATTGCCTAAAATACCCAACCAGAATTTATAAGAGGCTTGCCCCATATAGCGCTACC